TGGGCCAAGCGCGGACTCACCCACGCAGCCCACCCCGCTGGGGTTCAGCTCGAAGTCCTGGGGGCAGCTGCAGAGGTAGCCGCCCGGGGTGTTGACACAGAGGCCGTTCACACAGTTCACCGGGTCTGCGCACTCGTTCACATCTGTGGGACGCAGGTGCAGTGGGCATCGGGAGCCTCCTCCACCCGCTCCGCTCCCAGTGCCGCTCGGGAAGCCACGGCCTTTCCGGGGGTCCACTATTGGGTGCTTGGACTGCAGGACAAGGCTGTCCTGGCCAGGCACGGGGATGCATGCCTGTGATCTGAGAGGCTGAGGCGGGAGGATCGTGAATTCTAGCCCAGCCTAGGTAATCTAGAGACTCAGGGATTCCTGTCCCAAAATAAAACATTCAAAAAGGGCTGGGGATATAGCTCAGTGCAAAAGCCCTGAGTTCAAACCCTAGTACCACAAAGTCAATATAAAATTAATTAAATTTAAAAGACCGCGTCCTTCCCCGGGGAAAAGACTGGAGGGATGGAGCCTCTGGAATCTGCCTCAGCCTGTCTGACTCCTCCCTGCCCTGCTCGGATCCGCAGGCATAGAGGTTTCCCCTTGAAAACTCCCTGCCCAGGTTCCACTCAGCCAACACCACTGCTTGTGTCAATAAAGTTTTATTGGCACAGGGCCTATTATTCACACAGCACTGCTTTCCAGTCACACTGGCTGGGCTGAGCCATGGGCCACAGAGACTGTATGGCTTACAATGCCAAAAATTAATTTCTGCCTGCCTGCCTTCCTTCCTTTTCTTTTTGGAGACAAGGTCTCTCTAAATGGCTCAGGCTGGCCTCGAACTTGAAATCCTCCTGCCTCAGCCTCCCAAGTAGCTGAGATTACAGGTCTGTGCCACTGCAGCCAGCTCTGCTCATTACTCATTGATTTACATTATTATTTTGCAGGGCTGGGATCAAACCCAGGACCTGGCCTGAGCCTAGCAAGTGCTCTACCGCTGAGTGACGACACCTTTAGTAACTTCTGCTCACTGTTTTGTTTTGGTACCGGGGATCGAACTCAGGACCTTGTACTTGCCAGGCAGGTGGTGGCGGCGACACCACTGTGCTAACTCCCCGGCCCTGCTCACTGCTTTTTTCTGTTTGTTTTGTTTTTAAACACACAGATGGGAGGTCATTTTGGCAGCTGGGAAGGAAGGAAGCTCATCATTCAGAAAATGGGAAGAGGGCAACCTAGCGGGCAGCTCCGCGAGCCGCGCCCGGCTCACCAGTGCAGTTGCCGCCCCCGGGGTCCAGCTCGTAGCCATCCGCACATGCGCAGCGGAACAGACCGGGCAGGTTTTCACAGCTCCCGAAGGCGCACAGGTTCCCCAGGGCGCACTCGTCCACATCTGCAGGAACCCAGTTCAGCACGCCCTGCCCGCAGCGAGCTCCAAGGACCCTCCTGCTTTGTCCCCTCATCTTGGCCGGGGCCTCACCCAGGCATCCCCTGTGGTCTTCCGTGGGGCTGAAGCCCATCTCGCACTTGCAGTGGTACCCGCCAGGGACATTGAGGCACTGCCCGTTCTCACACAGGGCCATGTCCTCGGCACATTCGTCTCTGTCTGAGGGGTCGGAGGAGGTCCTGGTGACCGGTGCCCTCTACAGTCACTGAGGGACCCAGGCGAGGAGCCCTAGGGATACGGGCCCCGGGGTGGGGGTGCAGAAGACCAAGACAGGGCCTGGAGTGTGAAAGGTGGCTGTAGACACGGGACTACAGCCAATGGGGCAGAGGGGACTTGGTCACTCGGGACAAGGTGTGGCGGGCAGCCAGGAAGTAAGCAAGGGTCCTGGGCACTTAAGAGTCCAGCGAGCCGGGCGTGGTGGCGCACGCCTGTCATCCCAGCACTCAGGAGGCTGAGGCAGGAGGATCACTGTGAGTTTGAGACTAGCCTGGGCTGAATAGTGCGTTCCAGGTCAGTCTCAACTACATAGTGAGACCCTGTCTCAAAACACCAAAAAAAGAGTCCAGAGAGCTGGGGGTAGTATCACACACCTGTCATCTCAGCACTCTAAGAGGCTGAGGCAGGAGGATCTCAAGTGTGAGCCCAGCCTGGACAACCCTGCATGACCCTATCTCAGAGAATAAAAGAAGGGTGGAGATGTGGCTCAGGGTGGAGGTCCTGGGTTCAATGCCAGTACCAAAAAATAAATAAACTCTAAGGGAGGAGGCGCTGCCTGAGACCCGTAAGTGGGCAGAGGGCAGCCCATGGACTACAAGTATGGTCTCTTGGCTCCTGCAGTGATCTGTGGATGAAACTGGCCCTGCGCCTGATCCTCCTGCCCCTCCCTTACCTTCACAGGAGACGCCATCCCCAGCAAATCCCTGCCGACAGGCGCAGCGGTAGGAGCCGGGGACGTTGAGGCAGTCGGCTCTCGGGCTGCAGCGATGCCCCTGAGCCGCGCATTCATCCAGGTCTGGGGCAGACAGAGCCCTGAGCGCCTGCAGTGAGCATCGCGGGGTGCGGGACGGCCACAGACACCCAGCACCCGCCACGCCCACCTTGCCCTCTTCCTTCTGCTTTGCCGGGACTCCCTGCCCCAGGCGCTCACCCTGGCACTTGAAGCCGTCCCCTACCCAGCCTGGCTGGCACCTGCAGCTGAGACTCCCGGGGACGTTGAGGCAGGAGGCGTGGTCGTCACAGTTGTGTCTCCCGAGCTCACATTCGTCTACATCTGAGGGGAGAGGGAGCAGTGATGGGGCCATCCCAGCAGGGGGCGCTCGGCATTGTAGCAGCAGTGAGAACGGACCCAGGAAGCCTCCTCTTGCCATCTTCACCCAGAGCCTGAGAAGAGAACCCCCAACCAACAGGCATGACTCCCTGCCGCCTCCAGAAATGGGCTGAAGTGGCAGCTGGAGAGACTCAGCATAAGCATTAAAAGTAAATGTCTCAGCCGGGCGTGGTGGTGCACACCTGTAATCCCAGCACTCAGGAGGCTGAGGCAGGAGGATCACCTCAAACTGGAGGCCAGCCTGCACTACATAGCTGAGACCCTGTCTCAACCTCCCCGCCAAATCCACTGGGCTTGTCTGCTCCGGGAACACAGCGGCTGGGCTTATGGAAACTCTCTCCGCTGAACTGTTTAAGGGGAGCCCCAGGGACACTTCATTCCCTGGAGATCTTATTAGTGGGGATCTGTAAGGATAAGTTCTGACCATGCTCTGCGCTGAGGCATGGGGACAGTCCCCAAGGGACAATTCCAATGATCTCCACGCTGCCCCCCAGGGTCCCTCCTGCCGGTATCACTGACTGCTCACTTCCTTCCCTCACCGGAGCAGCCCGTGGCCCCCTTCCTGATGGCATAGCCCGGCTGGCAGTGGCAGACAAACGATCCCTGTGTGTTCTTGCAGTTGCCATGGAGACAGATGTGGGGGTTCAGGACACACTCGTTCACATCTGTGGAGACGCGATGAGGCCTGAGGACCGGTGCCGGGGTGAGGGTGGGGGAGCCCACCAGCGTTCCTGAGGGGCCTGTCACTTGGTCCCCCACCCTGGGGGAGCTCTGTCAAGATTGCCCTGCGAGCGTTTCGGGAGCATTTCGCAGCACGTGTGTCGTGAAACACACCAGTCAGGCATTCCCAGGAGTGCGGCATGGTTGAATGGATTTAGGGAATGAGTCCCACAGACCCATTTTCTCGCTGCTGGACTTTTCAGTCTCTGTCACTGTGGATCTGTAACGGGTGAGTGGAGCTTGCAACACCGCCTATCTGTTCTCAGGCCCCTTCCGGAGCTCCTTGAGACTCCTGCCGCCTGGAACTCTCAAGCTTTCCTATGTGGGACGGCTTGTTGGTCAGGAGCTACATTGTTACAGGAGACACACTACATAGTTACAAGAGATGCAGAGGTTACAGGAGTTCCATTGTTACAGGGGGAGTTGCATGGTTGCAGGGGCTATACTTGCACAAATTACAGTGTTACTTCCTGGAACTTCCTGATCCTCACTTCCCCTCTGCTCTGATAGGGTATCCAGTGCACAACTACTCCCCAGGCCCAAGCACCACCCTTGGGTGAGCAAGGACAGGCACTGGGAGGTTCCTCGAAGGAGGCTCAGAAGCCACGCCTTGATGTGCACCCCTATTAACCTCAGTGTTCTGGGAGGCTGAGGCAGGAGGATGGCAAGCTTAAGCCCCGCCTGGTCAATTTAAGAACTTAGCAAGACCCTGTCTTAGAATTAAAGAGGGGCTGGTGATGTAGCTCATTGTGAAGGCCCTGGGTTCAGTCCCCAATATCGCACAAATCAAAATCAGAAGAAGAGCAAGAAAAGGAAAAGAAACAAACAAAACAAAACCCCAAAAGGCTCAAAGAACACAGTTCTGAGTCTTTCTCGCCTTGTTTGCCCTCTGCAAAAACAAAACCAAAAAAACCCCAACAACAGAAACAAGCCCTCCCCAAACATGCACTTCCTTTTAGTGATCTTGGAACTGGGCATGACGCTAAGTGTTGGGTACCCAGGAAACGGCATACAGAACCAGGTTGGGAGGCTTCACTTTTGTTTTGTTTTGGTTTCGGTACTGGCAATCGAACTCAGGACCTTGCACTTTCAAGGCAAGCAGCAGAACCACTGAGCTAAATCCCCAGCTCTGCTTCTGGTTTTCTGAGACAAGGTCTCGCTGACTTGAACTTGCAGCGATCCTCCAGCCTCTGTGCTGGGATTATAGGTGTGCGCCACCACGCCTGGCCTGCAGGTGCCTCTGCTTCTGGGAGAGGGACCCCCGGGCTTGCAGAGTGGGCCCCGGGCACCGAAGGCCCCTGGCCAGACCACCCGGGCTCGCACGCCTGTGCCTCTTGGGGAGGGTGTGGGGCTCTGATGCCGCCTCCGGCCCTGCAGTCCCAGCCTCTCACCAACACACGTCTGCATGTCCAGCGCAGCTGTGAAGCCGTCGTGGCACAGGCAGCGCTGACCTCCCGGCACGTTAGCGCACTGCCCCTGGCCGCAGAGGTCCGGGCTCTCTTCACACTCGTCAACGTCTGGGGGAGCAGGGACGGAGGGGCTGCAGGCGTACAAGGACGTGGGGAGAGGAGCCCTGGGGCCCTTCCCACAGGGCGGGGGAGGATGCTAGGGTCTGGCTGGCTCCGCCCAGCTCTGTGCTACCTCAGCCTTGGGCCGGGTCGGGGTCCAGCTCTCACCCGCATCCCAGGGAGGGAGGAGGTCCCGCACCCACCCCTGCAGGTCCTCCCGTCCGCCAGCAGCGAGTAGCCCTGCCCGCAGGCGCACTGGAAGCTGCCCTCGGTGTTAACGCAGCGCACTGCGCAGCCACCGTTCCGGACTTGACATTCGTCGGTGTCTGCAGAAGTACACGAGTGGGCTGCGCGGCCGGCGGGAGGAGCGCCGGCAGGGGGCGCTGTCTCCCCCACGCAGACCCAGCGGTCAGGCGCGCTCCGGAAGCGGGCACGACAGGAGCACCGCAAGGTGGGGCGCAGGCTGCCGCTCAGGACACACTCGTCCACGTCTGCGGGGGCGCACGGCGGCTAAGGGACCTGGGGAGGGAGGCCGTACCCCACCCGCCGCCTTCGTGACCGTGAGACACACGGGCACACCAGTGAGCTCACGCTGCAGTGTCTGCTCGGTCACACACCTCACACCCATGCACACCCAACCACACCCTTGGCGGCACACACAGCCTCATCCTCGTGTGAGCACGCTCCTTCACCCAGGTGTACGCTTACCCTGTGCACTCTCCGAAATGCACCTCACGCCCACACGTGCAAACACACCAGCACCCAAACGCACAACCCTCTTGCACACCCAGACTCAGACACAAAGCACCCACTCACAGGCAGGCTCACCCGCTCTCCACGGGCACACGCACACTCAGGTGCACACCCAGGCCCTCTTATCTGCTCAGAGAGGCACACGCCCACCACACGCCCACTCCCGTGCAAACGCTCGCTCCTGGGTGGACACACTCACACCCTCACAAACCCACTGGTCTTTGTATCGCTTAACGTACACACGTTACGTTGTGTGCGTACACACAAGCACACACTCCCAGGCACACACACATACACAAAGGCACACTCCCACCACTCATACATGCAGCCGCTCACACGAATGTTTTAAAGCTTGCACACTCACAGACACACATACGCCCACCACCTTGTATATGTGAGCACACACACGAATACATACGCACATAGGCTCATCCTCAGCCACAAACACTCACCCAACATTCAGACACACACACACAAACACGCTCACCCTCACGGGTAGTGCCCTTGGCCGTCGGTGCACGTCTGGGGGGCACAGGCACTCACAGCTCCCATCCGTGTTGGTGCAGGTGCCCCCCCCAGCAGCGGTTCCCCTGTACACTCAACCACGTCTGGTCACATGAAAGGACAGCAGCTGAAGACCCCGGCCCTCTAGGCTCTCGGTGCCTGGGGGCTCCCCCGGCCCCATCCCTGCCCCATCATCACCCAGGCTACAGAAGGCACAGCCTGGGGGCTCAGGGCTTGGAGGAGCTTCGCAGAATTGGGACTGGCGCTCCTAGGTCACCGAAGGACACCCTGAGAAGCCTCCCCTTCCCCTGAGAGCATGTGAGGAGCCTGAGGCTCAGCACTATCTGGCAGCCTCACCACCCACCCATCCCCTCCTTGCACACCAGCCACACACTTCTCCCTCTCCTCAGGGATACCCCAGGACCTTTGCACGCGTTGCCTTTTAGTCCCCTCAGTTCTCTCAGTGATGCCCCCAAGTTCCCCAGAATGGGCACCTCCTCCAGGTGCACTTTTGCATTAATCATGTGGTCCTTTTGCGTTTCTTTGGGGGATTTATTTTAATAAATCTGTTTCTCTGTGAGCTTAAAAAACAACCAACATGTCATTCCTTTTGAGGAGCTCGTACTGAGGTTCAAACCCACAGGTGCTCTACTATTGAGCTATATCCCCAGCCCCCGTTTTATCTATTACTTTGCGGCAAGGTCTCTCTAAGTTGCCCAAGTGAGACTTGAATTTGCAAAGATCCTCCTGCCTCAGCCTCCCAATGTGCCGCAATGACAGGCCTGGCCCACTGCACCGGGCCCAACGCCCCTGCAGTGCTGCTAGTTCTGCAGATGCACAGGAAGTGGCTATCCAAGGAGAAACAAAGTCTACACCGGCCCTGTTACAGGGCAGCGGCAGTGCTCCCAGGACCCTGGGAGACCACACCCACCCACAAGGCTTCTCACCCCAGGCGACGCCCCTGGTGCCCTGCTCACTGCAGCTCTGCCCCACGCCCGCCCCTGCCTCTCATGTGCACAGTGGAGTCCCCGTGCCCCTCTGGACACCCACGTCCTCGCCCCGCGGCCCCTCACCCATGCAGCTCCCGGCAGCAGCGGCAGAAGCGCAGGCACTCGAAGCTGCCCGCGGTGCTGACACAGGCACTGTGGCTGCAGAGCCCGGGGACGCCCTGCACTTGTTCACATCTGCGGAGGGAGCCCACAGTCCTGTCCCTGCCACACGTGGGCAGGCGAGACGTGTGGGACCACGCAGGCAAGGGGTGGGAAGAGGGCAAAGGGGTGACCACCTCGGGCCCAGATTTCACGGCACCCCACAGTGACTTCACTGCCTGGGTGCTTACTAAGTACTGGGTACTGTTCTGAGTTCCTCAATCCACTTAAGGCTCCAAATAAAACTGAGAAGGGGGCTGCGGGTGGAGCTCAGTAGTGAGCTTTTGCCTGATGTGTGGGAGGCATGGGGTCTGGTCTCCAGCAGCAGGAAAAGAGAAAGAAAAAAGGGAAGGAGGGAAGGAACAACAACAAAAAAAAAACCCAAAAGCAGAGAGGAAAACCCTATTATCATTTTAGCCATTTCACAGGCTAGGAAACTGCCCAGGGTAGCACAGCTCCCAGGGCTAGAGCTGGGATCAAACCCTGCCACCTGACTCTAGGGACAGGTATTTCACCCATAACCCTCAGAACAGTCTGTGCTCCCCCCACACCAAGGATGAGAGGCTCAGGCACACGTCAGCCAGTCACAGCCTCAAGTTGGCTGCTCACGTTTTGATTTGTTTTTATTGTTTTGAGACAGGATCTCTCTGTGCAGCCCAGGCTGGACTCAAACTCAAAAGAGACCCTCCTGCCTCAGCTTCCTGAGTGCTGGGATTACAGGTGTGTTTTTGTAAATAAAGTTTTACTGGCACACAGTCATGTTCACTCGTCTGTCTATATACCATCTGTGGCTGCTTTGGAGCTAGTGTTGAATGGTTGCCTCAGGGATGCTGTGGCCTGTGGAGGCAACATTTACTCTCTCTAGTGGGGCCTAGTGGCGCATGTCTATAATCCCAGCTCTCTGGGAGGCTGAAGCAGGAGGATCACAAGTTCAAGCCGAGACTGGGCAACTCAGTGACTTAACAGGACCTTGTTTCAAAATTGAAAAATAAAGAGGGCTGAGGATGTAGCTCAGCATGAAGGCCCTGGGTTCATTCCTCAGTAGCACAAAAGCAAAGCAAAACAAAAACAGCAAGGGAATGCTAAACCAGCACGGTAAATAAGATCTCCTGAGATTGGCAGTTGCCATGAGCCTCAGAAAGAAAATGGTTAATTCTCCAGGAGCAACCAGGGGGACACACAACAAAACCAAACATCAGGGGCTGGATAAAAGCCCTTCCTGTCCCAGGATGGGGGCCAGGAAGGAAAGGCCCACGACTGACTCACCTGTACACAGCCGGCCCGAGGCGTCCAGCACCAGGCCCGGGGGGCACTCGCAGTGGAAGGAACCCGCAGTGTTGGTGCAGCGCCCACTCTGACAGATGCCCGGGAAGGCCTCGCACTCGTTCACATCTGGGGACAGGCGTCAGGAGAGAAGAGGGAGGGGTGGCACTACCAGCCATCCCCCTGGGGAGCCCTAGATGACCTTGGGGGGGACAGAAAGGGGACCTTGGCGGGGGCCCTGCGGGATCCCCAGAAGCCTGGGGAACCCTTTTGTTTATCTGTTGTTTTCTTTAAGACAGCATCTCACTATGTGGCCCAGGCTGGCCTTGAACTCACTGTGTAACCCAGGCGATCCTCCTGCCTCAGCCTCCCGAGGGCTGGGATGACAGGCGCGCACCACCACCACGGCCCACTCAGACTGGACAATCGCTAGTGAGCAGCCCGCGCATTAGGCGCACCTGGCCCTGTGTGCATGGGGTTGGGAGCTAGAGAGGGGGGCGGGGAGTTACCTTCGCAGGTGACGTTCACGCGGGCAAAGCCATGTGCACACTCGGGGTCTGCAGTTGGGAGAGTGGGGTGGAGAGAGCTCACTGTCCACAGCCAGCGCCGGGCAGGTGCCCCTCCCAGCCATGCCCATGGCCCAGGCGTGGAAAGGCCCCGGAAGGCCTTACCCAGGTCGCAGCGCTCACAGGGGCTCCCCCAGGCGGCCCCCAGGGTGGCGCAGCACTCAGACCGCAGAGAGGTTCCCTGAAGCTTCACTTCACAGTGCCCGTCCTGGATCTGCAGCCAGCAGGTCCCCTTGGTGCTGTCTGGGGACAAGTGGGGAGGGTCACCTGTCTCACCTGCCCTGCTCACACCTGCGCTCTGGTCCGCAGGCTCCCGGCCTCCACAACCCCGCTCACCTACGCACACGGCTCCAGGGGTCCCCAGCTGGCTGCCGGGGCCACATTCGCATGCGTAGGAGCCCGCCAGGTTCCGGCACACACCGCTCATGCACGGGTTGGACACACACTCGTCGATGTCTGTGGGGACAGACAGAGCCCGCTGGGTGCTGAGGCCCATCCGGCCGGGGCCCCCTCTTCGGGGAGACCACTGTACCCACCCGCGATGCACAGGCGCGAGCAGAGAGCGCAGGAGAGAAGGTGCATACGGCGACGTGCAAGGAGGGGTGGAGACGTTTTGCAAACAAGGGGGCCGGCCAAGAGGTGGAGGAGAAGCACATAAAACAGCACGAAGGCGCGTTATGTCCACGCGCCCACTCCCCATGGGGAACGGATCATGACGCACAAGCTTTGGCTAACAGAAGAGAAAGCGTGTCCACTAGCCGTGTGCGTGTGTGCAGCGTCAGAGGCGGGAAGAAACCAAGCGGCTTCTCTTATTGTCACGCCCCACTGTTCAGAACACCTCAGTAACCAGACATGGCTTTCTTGTTTGTTTTGCTTGTTTGTTTCCATACTGCTTATTTCTTCCATAGCAGTGGGACCCTTTAATTCAATTCTGACACTGGCGACCCGGAGTTAAAATCAGATCCCTCAAGTTAAGGAGTTAAGGGGCTCAGGGCTTTTTTGGTTTTTATTTTGTTTTTCGTACCAGGGATTGAACCGGGGTCCTTGCGCTCGCCAGGCAGACCACCGAACCACTGAGCTAAATCCCCAGTCCCTGGTTTTTGTTTTTTGGCAGTACCACGGATCGAACTGAGCCCTGGTCTTGCCAGGCAGGCGGAGCACCACTGAGCTACATCCCTGGCCCACCTGTTTTGTTTTTCTGAGACAGGGTCTCACTGTGTAGTCCAGGCTGGCCTTGAACTTGCAGCGATCCTTCTGCCTCAGCCTCCCGAGTGCTGCGATTATCAGTGTGCACCGCCACACCTGGTTTAAGGGCTCAGTCTTACAGATCTGCACCTGACTCCAGCTCCCCACTGCAAATCCAGGCCTCTGGAGCTTCCCACAACCTCACTGCCACCTGCTAGTGCTATGGCTTGCATCCAGACGCCCCCCGAAGCTCTGTGTGCTCACAGGTAGGGCTTTTCAGAGGCAGCTGGATCTAGGGCGTGTGATGCTGGCATTGAGGGGAACCCACCTTGGTACAGGGAGGACGGAGAGGAAGGCTTGCTGCTGCTGCTGCTGCTGCTCCGCTGCCTGCTGCTCTACAGCTCTGCTGCCTCCCGCCTGCCCTCCCCTGCCATGGACTGTTTTCCTCCTCCAGGCCCCTCTGCCACGCCACCCTGTCTTGAAGCCGGCTGACTACGTACTGAAGCGTCCACAAACCGTGGGCCCTCAGTCGCCGTGTGTCAGGAACTGGGGTTAAGGACCAGCCAGCGGTCAGAACGGTTCCGTCCTCACTGCCCAGGGGACTCAGGCCAGACACACAATTCCTCTTCTAAACCCTGGGCGTGGACACCGATGTGAGGGTCCCCTGAGAGCTCAGCGTACAAGATGAGCCTCAAGGGAGCAGCGGGGGACGAGAGCAAACTGCAGAGGACAGAAGCCAGGCCGCACAGCACGCGTGACATGTCTGTGTGCTCAGCAATGCAGCATGCATGCCCCTGTGTGCGCATCTGCGGGTACACACCGTGTGGCGTGTCTGGGTGCGCAACACAAGCATACGTACCTGTGCACGCTGCGCTGCATGGCTCTGTGCGTACACGCGCGCACTATACGCAGCGCTCCCCGAGCACCCCCCGCACGCTCACCGTTGCAGTCCGTGCCCGCGGCGCCTGCTTTGTAGCCCAGGTTGCAGACGCACCGGTAGCCGCCGGGAAGGTTCGCGCACACACCGTTGGTGCAGGCCTCGGGGTCCAGGGCGCACTCGTTGATGTCTGCAGCAGGAGGACAGACAGCAGCGGCCCTGGCTTTCCGGGAGCCTCCGAAAGCCGGTGCCACTCCCAGGGCAGGGGGTCCAGGCCAGACCCCGCCTCGTTTCTCCCTACACCAGGCTCTCGGCCTCGCACGGCTGACACGCGGGCCACACCACTCCCAGCTGCCGGGGGCCGCGCTGCTGCAGCCCTGGCTTCCGCACCCGCACCTCTGTAGTGTTGGCCGAGTGTCCCCGGGCGGGTGAGGGAGCTGTCCCAGTCTGGAACCTGCGGGGATTTGGACGGCAGCCCACGATATAAAGACAGTCGGCTCTCCTATCCAGGGGCAGCACACCCGGGAATTCAACCAATCGGGGATGGAGAACATCCGCCCCCAGGTTACACCCTAATGAACATTCGCAGGCATCTTTCTTGTCATGATCCCCCAGACGATACAGTAGCACAACTATTTACACAGCGCTTCCACCGTGTCGGGTACCATGAGTCGTCTAGAGCTGATCTAAAGTCGATGGCAGGATGGGTGCAGCTCCTACGAAAACACCATGCCACTGCATATAAGGGGTGGGGACAGCCAGGTCCTGGCATCACAGGGATTTTGGAACCCAGTGCTCACAGGTGCCCAGGGCGACCATAAGAGCAATCACGATCACTAACATCACAGGTGCTTCCTCTTCTGTGCCAACCGCTGTGTTTTCCTACAGCAACCGTAGCAATCACAGGCGGTCCCCAGCCACAGCCTCCTGCCTGCCTCCCGTGTCACCAAGGCAGTGCCTGCCGGCCCCCGACTACTCGCTGGACCCTCACCTCCCCCGCGACATGGATCCCAGCACCACCCCCGGGCTTCACAAAGAATCAGAGGTAGAGAGAAAGCAACTTGCTCTAAGTGATCCGGGCAATAGATAATAAGACGAGGATTCGAACCTGGGCAGCCTGGGCCTAGCACAGGGGAGTCAGGCGTCCGGCCTGTCCCAGTTGCCTAGCAGTTGGTGGAAAATCTAACGCTATGCCAGGTCTTTTAATTTCTGCTCAGGCAAAAAGGCTGTGTCAGGAAGACATAGATGGGTGTGTGGATTTCTTTATTAGGATATAACGTTCGTATTCCTTGGGCAGAGTTGGCACACGCTAGTGCCTTTTCTCTTCGGCTCTCCTCTTCCTCCATCTTGATCCTCTTCCCTTTTGAAAAAGACCTGTCTCTCTACTTCCCATCATGTGTCTATTATTCTGCTCTATATTTATAAGTTGTGTTTCTCATATAAGAGAAACCATGCACTCGTGGATCTCATTTATTGCGCTTAACATTAAGGTCTTGAGATGCATCCACTTTCCTACAGATGACCCAAGCTTATCATTCTTTACGGCAGAGTAGTACTCCACTGTGTGTAAATACCTTAGCTTCTTTATCTATTCGTCTATTGATGGACACCTGGGCTGCTCCCCATATTTCGCTATTATCTGCTGTTGTAAACACGGGTGCGCACAGATCCTTGTGATATGAGGACTTTAACTCTTTCGGGAAGACACCCTAGAAGCAGAATACCTGGGTCAAATGGAATTTGTAGCTTTTGGGTTTTTTTTGAAGAATCTCCACGCTGATTTCCAGAGTGGCTGCACCAGTCTCCACTCCACCCACAGTGGAGAGGGTGGTTCTGTTCCCCACCTGGAGCCTCCCCAGCACAACTAGCCAACAAGTGACCGGAGACACCACACAGGGAATTTCCTTTCCCAAGTTTCAACTTCATGGCAAAGACCCCTGGCCTGAGACCTGTGGGCTACTGATCAGCAGGGACCCGCTGTCCCCGGTGAGGCCTTGGGGGTCCCCGTGGGGTATCGCGGAGGGGGCACAACAGAACACAGGTCTCTGGACAGAAGGCAGTGAACACGAAGCAGAGCTCTCTCTACCCCACCACCTCTGTCTGCTGCAGGTGCATCACGTCCTCCGCAGCTGATGTTTTACACCGAGGTCCGCAGAATTGTGGCATTACTGGGAGACAGATAACCAAGGTACCATGAGGGCATTAGGGTGAGGGATAATAAAAAGGACCGCTGTCCTTGTGAGTGGGAGAGTCACACACCACACACACACACACAGGGTCAGTGTGAAGGCAAGAGAGACAGGAAGAGACTTCTATAAGCCATGCACTGCCAAGGATCAACATCAAACCACGAGAAGCGAGGCGAAAAGAAGCCTAGAACAGATTCTCCCTCAGGGACCTCAAAATCAAGCAAGCAGCCCAGCAGGATGTGGTGCTGCACATGTGTGATCCCAGCAGTCAAGGAGGCTGAGGCAGGAAGATCTCAAATTCCAGCCCAGCTTGGGCAATTGAGCAACTTAGCGAGTTCTGTCTACACCTTGATCTCAGACTTCCAGCCTCCAGACTTGGGCAGAATCAATTTCCGTGGCTGAAGCGAGCTGCTCTGGCACCCCTAGCAAGTGGATACCCTTCCCAGCCACACGCCCCTCTGCAGCCCACCACCCTGGAGGCAGTGGCCGGCAGGGGCCCAGTCCGCTGCTACACGGTGCCCCGAATTCAGCTGCAGGGGGCAGGGAGCCCAGCAAGCGGGATCAGAGAAACCTCCCCGGGGCTCAGCACTCTGCTAAATCTCCGTGATCCGGGGCACCCATCAGGCTAGGATGCAAACCCCTTTCTCCGCGGGCAACTCCTAGGGGAAAGAAGCCTTCAGCCAGGCCAGCCAGGCCCCAAGCACACACCAGGGGCGGGGTCACCGGAGTTCCTGGCAGGACACAGCTGACCGGGCACCGGGAGGCAGCAGGCGGATGGGAAGGGGCAGGCACAGGCGCCCTCTCCACGGCCAGAAGCACAGGCCGCCCTCGTGGGCGCCCACGGTCAGCCCGGCCGGTCACTGGCAGTGGAAGGACCCCTCGGTGTTGTGGCAGCCGTCGCTCCCGCAGATGCCTGGCATCTTGCGCCCGTCGATGTCTGGGGGGAAATCGCTGGGATGGGCCTCAGCTCGGCACAGGGCCCTAAACCTGCAGTGTCCAGCCCTCCCGCCTTCCGGCGGCTCCTCTCCTCTCTCCCTCTCTCCTCCCCACCCTTTTCTTATTCATTTATTTTGGCTTTTGGAGACAGAATCTCGCTAGGTAGCCCAGGCTGGTCTTGAACTCGCTGTGCTCCTCCTGCCTCAGCCTCCCGAGTGCTGGGATCACAGGCGTGCGCCAGCCTCATCCACGCAGTGGCAGCCACTGGGTGCCAGCAGGAAGCCAGAATTGCAGAGAGAGGTGAGGCTGCCGTCTCTGTCAATGATACAGACGCTGTTCAGACACACGGAGCGCGCAGTACCTTCCTTCTGGTCTGGGGACACCAGGGAAGCTGGGTCCAGGCGGCAGCCCCCTCCTCCACCCCAGGGCCAGGGCCGGGCCCCACGGTGACTGACTGATTGCTTGTAAAGCCATCTTTCAGTATCTCGAGGGCACAGGTCCCTGGAACCCTCAGAAAGCAAAACCTGCAGATCCTCAAGTACCTTATATAAATATTACTCTGTGAGTAATATTTGTACAGAGCCTACACAATTCTGCTTCCCACAGACATTTCTTTCTTTTTTTTGAGACAGGGTCTCTCTGTCTAGCCAAGTTGGTCTCAAACTCAAGGCGGTCTTCCTGCCTCGGCCTCTCAAGTGCTTGGATCACAGGTGTGCGCCGCTGTGCTGGGCAACCAGGCTTTAAATCATCTGTAGATGACTTAGAAGACCTCAAACAAGGTAAATGTTATGTAACAAGTTACCGTGCTGATTGCTAGCCAGTCAGAACAAGAGAAAAACCTGTGCATGTACTGCATGGATAACAATTTATTTTTGGAATATATTTGATCCATGCCCAGTTGAATCTGCAGATGTGAAACCCAGATTACAGAAAGCGGCCAGGGAGCTCCCCGGGGCACAGCCAGGTAGCTGCCTCAGGGGTCCTGTCGTTCAGTGGATGTTCCACAAATACTTGTTCAACAAGTCACAAAAGTGAAGTAGGAACTGCACAAGACCAGAAATATCCTAACTGCCATTCAACTGTTCATTTAAAAATGGCTAAACTGTAAGATTCTGTCACATGTGTTTTGCCACAGATTTGTTTGTTAGTTTGAGACAGGGTCTCACTATGTAGTTGAGACTGACCTGCAGCTCACTATGTAGCCAGGCTGGTCTCGAACACAGAGATCCTCCTGCCTCAGCCTCCGGAGTGCTGGGATTTACAAGTGTGTGCCACCATGCCTGGCCACAGTTTTTTTAAATGTAGCAAAAACTGAATAAATGAAGCCAGACATGGGGGTGCACGCCTGTAATCCCAGCTACCATTGGGAGGCTGAGGCAGGAGGATCACAAGTTCAAGACCGGCATGAGCAACTTAGCAAGGCTTGGTCTGAAAAGCAAAATTTTAAAAAAATGTTGGAAGATATAGCTCAGTGACAGAACAAGGTCCTGGATTTGATCCTCAGTACTGGGGAGGGGGTGGAATTAAATAAATGAGGAGGAAGTGGTTGCCCAATATTGGGAATCTAGCAAATTCCATCAAATTGTTCCGTTACACGTCGTGGAAATGATACACTTTATCTTGTGTATAGTTTGCTGCAGTAAAAATAAAGCCCCCTAAGCCGGGCCCCCTAAGCCGAGTCCCCTAAGCCGAGTGTGGTGGCTCACACCTGTAATCCCAGCACTCGGGAGACTGAGGCAGGAGGATCACTGTGAGTTCAAGACCAGCCTGGGCTATGTAGTGAGTTCCAGGTCAGTCTCAACTACATAGTGAGACCCTGTCTCAGAAAATAAATAAATAAATAAACAAAAAAAAAAAATAATAAAGCCCCCTGAAACTTGTTAAAATACATGAAGTTTCCGGGTGTGGTGGTGCACACCTATAACCCCAACACTCAGGAGGCTTGCCCTGAGTTCAAGGCCAGCCTGAACTACACAGCGAGACCTTGTCTCAAAACACCAACCAACCAAGAACGAAAGTGGAAGCAGTGGTGATCGCATAGCACCGGGAAAGTATCACGTACCACGGAATTATTCACTTAAATGACTACACTTGTTGTGTGGATCACACTTCAATTTTTAAAAAAGAAAGCTAATGAAAAAAGTCGGATCTAAAGGAAGGTGGCAGGTGAGAACTGAGTTTGCCAAAGTAGCAACAGTTAACTATCAGAGGATGGCACCTACAGAGACAAAACGAGCGAATAAAGAAATGCCCACACACAAGTTGCACGCAGATGTTCACAGCATTATTGTATATCGCTAATAGTATGGAGAGGAAACAACCCCAGTAACTATCCGTGGATGAATGGGTAAGCACAGCACGTGTTCCAGTGATATGGTGGAATATTACTCAGCCACGAACAAAGGAGGAGCACTGATACACAGTCCAGTGTGAACGGACCTTAAGGACACCATGGTCAGGGAAAGAGGCCAGGCATAAAAGGCCACCTAGTGCATGATTCCACGGGTAGAAAATGTCCAGAACAGGCAAACCTAGAAGGATAGAAAGTGCACAGCCCCATGCCTAGGGCTGGGGGAGGAGGGCAGATTACAAATGACTGACGGATATGGGCTTTACCTTTGAGGTAACAGAGATATTTTAAACTTAATTTGCAATGGTGATTGTACAACTGTATGCAAATACTAAAAACCCTAATTTTGTTGCTTTGGGGGGATGGGACTTCACTATGTACCCCAGCTTGGCTCTGAACTCAATGGGTAGCCCAAGCTGGCCTCAAACTCGCCGCGATCCTCCCGCCTCAGCCTCCCGAGTGCTGGGGACCCAGGAGTGCCCCACCATGCCTGGCTTTCAAAGCTGGCTAATTTTATTAGCTATGTGAATATTGCATCAATAAAGAGACTTTTAAAAAAATTGTTACGAATAACTACAGAAACGATAAAATACTTCCACACAAGGGACTGTAAGGCAGATCATCTCAGACAAGGTGGCACCAGAGGCTACAGGACAAGCGCCCGCCCCTCTCACAGGGAGCGAGGCGGGGCGCTCTCCAAGGTCCTGATCGAGCCTGGCCTGCAGCCCCTCGGCAGCGGCCCGGAAGGGACAACTGAAGACCCGGAGGCCCCGCCCACCCGCGCGTCCGACTCACCCACGCAGCTCTTGCCATCTGGCTCCAGCTCGAAGCCCGCGCTGCACTCGCAGCGGTAGCCGGAAGGGGTGGGCAGACAGCGGCCGCGGAGACACGGGCT